CCCCAAAACCCCAAAACCCCAAAACCCCTAAATGCATGAATTGTATGTAAATAGTAGATTATGAAATTAAGATTAATCGTGAACTATGATAATTCAATTCTTATTTATTATATACGTTATTTGTGAGAAGGTTTTGTCACAATTGTTGCTTTTATTAATTTATCTGGAGCAATGGTTAATAGATTTTGAGTTTGGGCAAGCTTGCATTCGCCTTCAAACTATATTATCCTGAAGCTATTTTGTTAGACTAAGACTTAGGTAGATCTGTGTCTTTGTAATCCTTGGTCATTTAGTGGGTTGGGGAAAGATTCACAGATTGTTATAGAACTCCTTGTCCCTGTAGATTTATATTTGGAATCTTTGAATCCAAGATTGTGAAACAAGAACTTATTCTTCCACTTGATCTTTTAGAATTGACGCTCATAATACTTTAAGTTGAGATCTATCTCTGATGATTTATTTTTTAATTTAAGCCCTAGTTATAGTAATTTGATTATTTCATGGGGGAAACCAATGGGTAATCGTCTTTTATAAGCATGTTTCCTCCTTGATTATCAAAGTTATCAGTTTTCCAATTTTTAACGCTTGGTGTTGGTCCAATTGTTTCTTTTAAGAAGATTGTCCTTTTTGAACTGTACATTTAATTTTTCATTTAATGTGAGAAACCTTAACTATTTTATTAGATTTGATTCTCGTTTGTAATTGCTTGCTTCATTCGTCCATTATCTTGCTAAGAAATTTGAGATTGCTAAGTATTAATCTAATTTTCACCTTAGTTTTCATTCATAATATTAGTAGATGCAGGTCCGTCATTAGGTAAACTTTAGACGGTAGGAATGGATAAATTAAAATTTGATGCCAAATTTTTCCCTTCTATATAGTTATGATACTAGTCATAATTATTCTAATCCCACATATAATTAGTTGAGGTAGATTATGTTGTTTCTATTGCTATTTTTGCAGCTGATTCTTTTTAATTTTGATCTAAACTAAGCCTTTTTCCGTGATAAGGGTTTGATATTTTATTTCCATCAATTAAGAAAAGAATTTTTTTCCCAGTAGGATTTTGAGGTTCTTGTCTCTAGCTAAAGAATGCTCTTTTTTCAAAGTATTAAGATACTTAAATATATGTTTTCCTTTATTCTGCTTCTGTTTTTTCATCTTCTTACTAAGCTTAAAACCCTCTTTAAAGGCCATTTGACAAGTCAATAAAGTTATACATAGAATAGATCTACAAAATTTTGTCACCGAATTCAATTGCTATTGATGCTTTTTTGAAAAAGTCATAAATCTTGCTTAAAGGATAATAATCGTTTATAAATTTTTAGTGTCTTTTGACAACTTCAGGGAAGCTTATCTTATCAACACATAATCTTTAATAAATTTATTCAAGCTACTTTTTGTCTTTTTCAGATATTTGCTTCTTGAATGTGACATTGGTAATCTTATTATGTAGAATTATTTAGTTAAAACTAGGATCTTTGATAAAACTCATTATAACAGTTGAATATACCTTCAAAGATTATTTTAATTAAAGTTCTTACAATTGGATACATTCCTTAATCAAAATCTTGGAATACAATGAGTCTTATCATTAGGATTTTTTATTCACTTTGATGTTCCAACTTAATCATCAGCATGTAATTTCCAATAAGGTCATCCATTGAGTTTACAATGCCTTAGAAAGCATCATTTCTAAGGTTTACTGTACAAGTTCCCTATTATTATGTCAGTTAAATTTAGTCTTTAAAATACCTTATCGGGGAAAAAAACAAATCCCTCTTTGTTTAAAACTACATTTTCCTTGAAATATTGTGGACATTAGCTTTGAGTTTGACTCTACAATGATTAATCAAAACTAAAGTTTGTGATTATTACCTCATTTATTAACTACCCTTTTAATGGGATAAGTCTCATAGTTAGGTTAAGTTTTACATTATCATAGTCCTCAGGATCAATCAATCTCAAAGGTGCTTCAATTTATGAAACTTCATAAAGTTACCTTTAATTTTGAAATCTAATTCTTAAGTGGAATTGGTAGTTTAGTTTTGCATCTACTATTAAGTTTCATTCGTCTCTTGAGTTGTAATTTACGCACAACTTTAAGCTTTTTAGAGATTTCTATTCATAAATTCTAATTTCAATAAGTCATAATTGAATTTTACCTTTACTTAGCTAGTTGTAATATTCTTTGGATTCCTATTTCTTATCAACTTTCTTTTCAAATAACTAGGTTATCTTTTCAGATTTTAAATTCTGTAAACTTTGATTTCTCTGTCTATGAAGAGTATCAAAAGCACCATAGTGATACTCCACATCATTTAAATTGTTTTTTGTGTGATCCTTCACATCCTATATCTTGAACATCAAAGGTTCCTAAATAATTTTAATTTCTCTCTATTAGATGTTACAATTTTGGCTGCAATTGAACCGATTGGTTATCTCTGATCCATGTCAATTTGTATTTACGAGAGTTAGGACATCATATATTTTTTATTCAAATTAAATTGAAATTCCTCTTCCTTGATTTGCTTGGACATTTTATCTAGAGTCTTAATGTGCTCCTCAAGTTTCAAAGATTTTTCCTCATCCATTTAGCAATCTATATGACAGAAATTTCATTGACTTAATTTTTACTGCTTTCTATGTCTTAATTCTTTCTGTGCGATCTTATTTGAGATTTATCTAGCAGACCTGGATAGAAATGAGTTTGAAATTAATCGTAGAATTTCTAAAATCTGTAATTTATGTCGAAACTCTTTCTCTCCTATAAACTTATTAAAATCTACAAGATATTCTTACTCCTAAAAATGTAAAAAGGATTTCTATTTCTTACTTTAATGGAAATTCGGCTGATCTTCTTTGCGATGAGAGTAAAATACCTTGTCCCAGTTAAGAGCTTTAAGTGCTTTCTCTTTTTCTAGATTGGGAATAACCTAATAAGGCTCGCCATTGTTCAATATCTGTTTCCCTAGAGTTTTCTTCATGAGTTTATCCCTCATATCAAGGTAACGCATTTTCCTGTCTATTTCAAAGATGTTTTTCGTTGTCACTGAATTCGTCATTTTAAGTTTTAACAATTTATAATAAAAAAATTAATTCAAACCCTTAAATCTAAAGCTGTTTCTTGGGGTTTTGGGGTTTTGGGG